GAAGGGCAGTGACATCTTCTGCCCCTTGACTCCGCTTCCCCATCATGCTTCCCTCCCGTCTGCTCAGAGACCCAGGTGCCGTGTCTCCTGAGGCCCCAGCAGTGTCGCTCCCATCACCCTCCTCTTGAGGGGGGAGCCGGGCCTCTGCCCGCAGGACTGCGGCCGCCCTGACCTCTGCCTCTGTGCTCCCTCCCCAGGGAGAACGACATCACCCCCGTGCTCGACCACACGTTTTGTGTAGAGCACAATGCTTTCGGGCGGATTCTTCAGCACGAGCTGAAACCCAACGGCAGGAATGTCCCCGTCACGGAGGAGAACAAGAAGGAATATGTCCGGTAGGTAGGGCTCGGGGGCACCCTGGGACGGTGGGCAGCGGGCACGTTGAGATGGTCGAGGCTCCGCTGCTGCGTGAGCCTCCCGTCCCTGCCTGCACTTGGATCAGAGTCACAGCAGAGACTTCCAGAAAGCAGTGGCGTCAGCAGTGGGAGCTCTGAGTGGAGGGCTGACCTGTTAAAGGGAGATTCGTGACCCCAGGAGGCGGAGGAGGAGCCTGGAAGCTTCCTGCGCTCCGTCTCAGGGCATCTTCCCTCCGGTCTGTCCTCCCCCCTCTGCAGGCAAATAGCTGACCAGCGACTCCATGGGGTATTCAGACACAGGTGGGGCTGTCATTCTCAGGGTCCTATATTTTATTTTCAAACACTTTTTTTTCAATTATGGCATCCCTAACAGGTCAGGTCAGATCCGACCGATTCAAGCAGAGAATCAGGGCATCTAAGGGAGGGGCTGACTTCCTTTCCTCCGAGTCTTAGGCTGGTCGCCAACCACCAGGGGGCGTTCCTCCCCGTCAGCGGGGCCGGGCGGGCAGGGCCTAGCTGATGTCAGACCGACTCACCGAGGAAAGATTTTCATGAGCGGAGTGCGAATGCTTCCAACGTGTGACTCTTCCTCTCAGGTTGTATGTAAACTGGAGGTTCATGAGGGGAATCGAGGCCCAATTCCTGGCTCTTCAGAAGGGGTTTAACGAGCTCATCCCTCAACACTTACTGAAGCCTTTTGACCAGAAGGAGCTGGAGGTGGGCCATGCGGGGCTGCGGTGCGAGGGGCTGTTGTGTGTGGGGTGGTCTCTGCCTCTTGGCCTGGCTGCAGAAGCAAAGACGGGGTGGGGGGACAGGGGCGTCGGGGAGCCCTGAGCAGGGATGAGGAGGCCTGGTGTCCATGTGGTGGCTGGGAGTCCGGTTCATCCATCAGTCCGGGTGTTCCGTGGCTCCCCCTGACTTAGAGACCTCCAGCGTAGAGCTCCCCAGTGCCGCCTCCCGAGGGGTCACCTTACACCGAGGATGTGACCATAGCCAGCTGCTCCCATCCTAGCCAGCTGCTCGACTTTGATTCCGGCTGTTATCAGGCCCAGGATGGAGCGTTACTGTCCTTTCTCATCCATCTTCCACTCACATCTTGTCCAACCCTGGCACCATGTAGCTCGGGCCTTTCAAAGTGCCCCCAACCTTCTGCCCTGGTGTGGTGCCAGAGTGCACGTGCCCCCCCGGGGCGGGGGAGTCACACTTTACACCCCACGTGTCCTCAAGAGGTCCTGGGAGGCGGCCCCGTGCAGCAGTCCTGGCTCCTCAGTGCATGCCCATGCACACGCACGCGTTCAGTTGTGGGGAAACGTCACGTCCGCAGCCGCCCTGCGCCCTGGAAGCGCAGACACAGACGGGGGCCTCGGGCTGGCTGTGTGTGTTGGGGGGTGTCCCCTTGTCTGAACATCGCCCGGGTGACTGGGGCGTGGTTGGTTGGTCTCTCCGCGGCTTGTTGCGTTGCGTGTCCAGAAGTGACCCGCTTTCACGCCCTGCAGCTGATCATTGGCGGCCTGGACAAGATCGACCTGGACGACTGGAAGTCAAACACGCGGCTGAAGCACTGTGGGGCCGACAGCAACGTGGTCCGGTGGTTCTGGCAGGCGGTGGAGACCTTCGACGAGGAGCGGCGGGCCCGGCTGCTGCAGTTTGTGACGGGCTCCACGCGGGTCCCCCTCCAGGGCTTCAAGGCGCTGCAAGGTGACTGCAGTGGCGGCCGGGCAGGGGCCGGGGGTGTCTCCTGGCATCGGGTCTTTCGCTTGGCCCAAGACCTCTTCTGTCCCCACTGCCGCCCCCAGGGTGAAAGAAACACCTGTGAGCAGTAGGAGCCTGTGTCAGCCGCACGCGTCCTCCACACCGCCTGCTCAGGGTGTCTCAGCCCATGGGCCTGCAGCGGCGGATGCTGGCCGGCCAGCCTGGTGCCCCCGTGGGGCTGGACCAGGAACAATCCCCCCAGAAAGGCCAGGGGAGCCGGGGGAGGGGGTGGGCTCCCCTCGCCCAACAGAATGGATGGCTTGGGGGGAGGAAAGCAGCTTTAAAAACGCACTTAGGTTAATTCTGAGTCTCCCGAGCGCGCTGTGTGGGCCAGGCTCTCAGTCCCCTCGTCCGCGGGGGCCCGCCTGGTTGGCTGCCTGGTCCAGTGAGGAGCCGCCCTTCCTGCTCACCCGGGGGCCGGCTGAGCTCAGGAGGGGCCGCAGGGCTTGTGGTCGGGGCCTCTGTCCGGGGAGGGCCTCTCCCCGGCTCTGATGGTAAATCTGGGGGTTTTGTCACTTGATAACCCTGAGAGCTCGCAGAAGTGAGGTTGAGAATATTAGTACCTTAAAACTTAGTAAATGGACTTCACGTGTTCCTAGTGAGAGCAGGCAGGTTTCATGGGAACGTTCCCTGTAGCCTCGTCCTTAGCCTGAGGCCCCCCGGTCCTGGGGCTTTGGTCCTGGCGTTCGTGTCCTTATTCCCACCGGCCTCTGCACATGGGGTTTCCGGATTCCAAAACCTGCTTTTCTTGTGATGCTGCCATCCGCTGCCAACAGGGGGTCTGCCTGCTAGACATTCCTGGGTTTTTTGAAAACAAATTCCTGGTGACTGAAGGATTCTGCTTTCAGAAACCCGCCCAGGGGTAGGCTCATGGTCGGCTGTGCGAGGAGCTCGGGCTTTGCTCTTCCTGCACCCGTGACTTTTCTAGAACGTCTGATGGTAGTTACTCCGTGGCCACCATGTGCAAATCCCGAGACCAGCAGAGCTCCCCGGGCCGCGTGACCCCGCCCCCGCTGGCAGGACTGGCGGCCCGGGCCGGGCCCCGCCTCTGACGCGCGTTAACTAGACTCTTACCTTGTAAGGCTCTACAGGCGCCGCAGGGCCCCGGCTCTTCACCATCCACCTGATCGACGCCAACACGGACAACCTGCCCAAGGCCCACACCTGGTAAGGACCACGCCAGGGTCAGCACGCGGCTGTCAGGCGCAATGGCCTCGGAGCTGCTCCGCTGGCTCCTGCTGCACGTGTGTGTGTGTGTGCACATGTATGCACGTGTCCCACGTGGCCGTGTGTGTGCCCACGCAGGCGCTGTCAGGAGGGAGCAATGCAGGTTTAGGTTTGGAGTCACTGGTCTCTGGTTTCAGCACTGTGACAGACGTGCTGAAAAAGGTTTCCTCCCTCAGTCTTCACTTAAACAATACCCGCAGTGGGCTTATTTCCTTTGTGGTTTAAAATCCAGTCACTCACTCACCCTGGTGGACCATGCATGGAGTGTCCCTCCAGCTGACCAGAACCCGTTCCAGACGCTGCAGGGCCCCATGGTGACGTGGGGGGAGGTTCCTGACTGGGGGTCCCACGCTGGCCACGACATCCGAGGGGGTGGGTCTCCACATCTGTGAGCCAGAGGACAGGGCCCCAGCACACGTGAGGATCCAGGGTCTGTGTCCAGCAGGCTTGGTCCTCTGATGGATGTGAAGAATGTCCTTGGGGTCAAGGACCTCTGAAAAGACTCCATACCCAGTAGCCTGACTCCTCCTCAGAAACTGTCCTTACTGGCTTAGCCCCTAGCAATTCAATAGGCCTCTGTGTGTCCTCTCGGTCAGAATTCTGTAGTTTTTGATTCAGTGTGAGGTAGTAGCTTCTTAGGGCTTTTGGACACAGCTTTGGGAATGAACATCCCTGAGGGAATGCTGGGCCGTTCATCTAATCCCATCAGGAATCTGACGTTTTGTTGGTTTTGAGAGGCAATCTGTTTCTGTCGGAAATACTCTGGACTGCCCCACTGTGGTCTTAGATCAAGTCCCAGAGGATTTTAAGCATGGGCAGTGAACTGATAGTGGTGTTTTGACCACGATGCTCTGCAAATGTGTTCCTGGTCTGAGAAATAACTTCTCCCCAAAACAAGAAACCAAACAAGGTGACAGCTTTGTCCTAATCTGGCCAGTAGGTACTCACCTGGTTTCATTTTGGTTTGAAAGATCTTAAGATTTTGCTGTGTGTTGATGGATTGAAAATCTTTACCCAAGAAGCCCCAAGTGTACAAACAAGTGTTCACCCGCCCTCGCCCCTCTCCCGGGAGCAGGCCCTGGGCCAGGCAGGCTCGGCGGCGTGTCTCACCTCTGTCCTTTTCCAGCTTTAACCGGATCGACATCCCTCCCTACGAGTCGTACGAGAAGCTCTATGAGAAGCTGCTGACGGCGGTGGAGGAGACCTGTGGGTTTGCCGTGGAGTGAGGTGCACCCTGAGGAGCAGACAGAGCTCACGGCCACCAGACCCCGAGCGGCAGCTCTCTGGATGCCTCCGCGAAGCCGGCTGCGGCCCTGGAATCCTAGGAACCTGAGGGAAAGGCTGGTCTCCCTGCTTTTGGCTGGGGGAGCGAGGGGGCGGGCAGACTGCGGCTGGTGGCTCCTCCCACATTCTCCTCCCCCTCCTGGCAGGACCACCCCCATCCACCCCATCCAATAAACGCAGCTGGGTCAGCACCGCTTCGGTCGCACGGGATCGTCTGCTCCAGCCACGGCACCTCAGTGCCCGTGGGCTCCACAGGAGTCTCAACCCCCAGGCAGGGAGCCGCGCGGGGCACACCCCACAGCAGGGCCCGCTGCTGTCTCAAAGCCCACCTAAGGCCCCTTTTCGAGTTCAGCAGTTCTGATTCCACACCCCACCATCCCAGCGGCCTGCTCTGGGTGGCAGTTTAAGTTCTAACTGAACAGGAACCGTAAAATAGATCCTTACTGGAGTTCTGCCACTGCAGGAAGCTGGCGTCAAGACTGTGCTTCTGTTTTGGAAGGGGACGCGAGTCGGGGCGGCTTGCGTTGGGGGCCTGGCTGTTTTTTTTCAGGGTTTCCTGGCTGAAAACTTTGTTCTGCAGAGAAAAATGATCTTTCCTTTTCAGAGTCCCTTTAGCCACATTGTCTATCCAGTTCAAAATATTTTTCCAGCAAAACCACCACACAACAGAGCTTATAAAAGACCAAAACCAGCCCTGCCCCGCCCCCACAGCTGCACCTGGAAGGTGTCACCTGGATCCTAACGAACCATTTTGTGGAAAGTGCTTGAGAACTAAACTAACAGGCCAGAATTCTGTCTTCGTAGCTGCTGGCTTGGTGCGAGCTAGCTTGAAAAGGAGAGAGAATGTCTAACCCCTATGACCTACGTTCACCCCAAGTTCCTGTTTTACATAAAGCGGGTCGTGGATGGAGACCCAAAGGCAGACGGGCCCCCAGACCCGTTGGCCCACATCCCCGTCTGATGACAACACTCACCAAACGCCGCGGCTCGACTTGCCCCCCAGGCGATGAGCAAGGCCAGAGAGTGCCCTGACCCTAAATTTCTAACACCGTTCCCCAATTTGCACAAAAGTTCAAATATTTTAAAATGGTTCGATTTCATAGCTAGACTTTAGTGGAAAAACAGCAGTGGCAACAAAGTCTCCCATGTGGACTTGCGTTGTATTTGTTTGGGGGCTGAGTGCAGGGTACCTCGCTGGCAGGATGTGTCCCTGCCGAACTTCTGTTGTGGATGTTCCCGAGGTCCGTGCTGGGATCCATCTGGCTGTGGGTCTGGAGGGCGCTTTCTGGCCGCCTGACTTGTTCCTTTTCGTTCCCAATGCCTGTGGACAGCGCTGACCCTCTGCATCTTGCTGTGGTTCTCTTGACCCAGAAGCAGTCAGTGGCCTGGGGTTGGGGGGGGGAGGGGTGCACAGAGAGAAAGCCGTGCTGTCGGCGACTCGCTGGGGTTCTAAAATAGGAAGGATGCCAGTGGCTGTAAAAGGAAAAGCGCCCCCTCAGAATGTCCGGGCTGTGTGAGCTGTGCCCGAGTTACCGACGCTTTCTGGGTGTGCTGGGAGCTGGCTCCTCGGGGGCGTCCTCTGGGGCGTGAGGGTACAGACAGACACACCCCGCCCTGTGACCTGGACCTAAACCTAGAGGAGGGGACTGAGGGGGGAAGACATACCTGGTTTTCCTGGGGTGTCGGCCAGAGCCTGCCGTAATTAGGGAGGAAACGAGGGTCTCGTGGCTGAGAAGACCTGGAAGCAGGAATGAGGCGTTTGCCTCCTTTGCAGTGACCTTCCTGCTGATGGGGAGGGGGGGTGGGCTGCTTCCCATGTCACATGTCACTTCAGCAGGAGCAGAGGGGCCCCACCGGGCTCCTCTACGGGCTGCTGGCGACCGTGAGCCTCACCTCCCCAGGGCCTGGCTCTGCTTCCTGCTGGCACGTGGACCCCTCGGCCCCCACAGCTGGTGTCAGGGAGCCTGGCAGAACCTTCCAGAGCTCCAGGTCACTCGAGCTAAGCAGGCCTGTCGGTGGCACTGCCCCCCGAACCTTAGTGTCCACGGGGAGTGGGCCTTTCGACCCCCCACCCCCACCAAAGAATCGTATCTAGCCCTGGGTGGTCCCGGGTGAGCACCCCCCACCCCTGCCCTTCCTGGGAGCCGCAGATGCCCCCGCCCCCCGCCTCTGCCCAGAAGCTTCAGGGCCCGACCCCCAGGCTTGCCTCACCAGCGGTCATCAGCCGACCCTCAGGGATGTAGCAAACCACCGCCCCTCGGTGCTTTAGGGAGACCGGAGGGGCTGCGGGGCGGCCGCCAGCCATCTGCCGGCTCCTCCCAGGAGAAGCACCTGGGAACGAGGCCCGGGGATCGGTCAGCACAGGGTCCGAGCCCAGGGCGGGCGGTCCTCCAGGCTGAGCTTTCCGAGAAGACGCCCCCGGCTGCGGCCAGGTGTTGCCGAATGGCAGCCTTCCCAACACACAGTATGGATTTTAAAAATTTGTTTATTTTTGTCTCTCAACCACTTTATAATGTATTTTTATTTATTTTGTTTTTAAGTACTGCTGCTATCCTTGTTATCCTTCCCATGGTTTTTATTGCTGATTTATTTTGTGAAAGTTGTACACTAATGTTGTTTTATGTCAAAATCAAAAGTATTTAAAGAATACTAGTTCTATTTAATGTGGTTATAGAACCAGCTGGAAACACAATACAGTGATTGTACAGCAGGCTGGACCCCGGTGGTCAGGTTCATTTTGTTACATATGCAATAAACTCACAACTTTACATTTTTGGTGTCTGTTATTTGGTGTGCAAGAGAGATTCCAGCTTTTTTTTTTTTTCCAAGACAGGCAGTCAGTGGCAAGGGCCTTCTAAAGGAAAGGGGCAAACTTCCCATCATTACAGCAGGAGGAGGAACTGATGGCAGCAAATTTGGAAAACAGTATGGAGGTTTCTCAAAAAACTAAAAATAGAGCTACCATGCTAAGTGCTGTGCTGTGCTAAGTTGCTTCAGTCGTGTCCGCCTCTGTGTGACCCCATGGACGGCAGCCCACCAGGCCCCTCTGTCCACGGGATTCTCTAGGCAAGAACGCTGGAGTGGGCTGCCATTTCCTCCTCCAAGAGCTACCATATGACCCAGCAATTCCACTCCTGGGTTTATATCTGAAAGAAAGCAGAAACACTAATTCGAAAAGATACACAGAGCGCAATGTTCACAGCAGCATTATTTACAATAGCCAAGACATGGAAGCAACCGAAGTGTCCATCAACAGATGCATGGATAAAGAAGGTGTGGTGTGTATATATATATGTATGTGTGCATGCATATATACATACATGTGTATACACACACACACACAGTGGAATACTAGGCCATAAAGAATATTCTGAAATTTGCAACAACATAGATGGACTTGGAGAGGAGTATTCTAAGTGAAACAAGTTTAAGAAACACAAATACTTTGGTATCACTTATGTGGAATCTAAGAAATAAACTAGTGAATATAACAAAAAAGGGGAACAGATTGACAGGGAAACCAGCGGTCACCAGTGGAGGGGACGGCAGGGGGAGGTGCGGCGTAGAGCTGGGGGTTAACAGGAGCAGAACACCAGGGCTTCCCCGGCGGCTCAGTGGTGAAGAATCCACCCGCCAGTGCAGCAGCCGTGGGTTCGAGCCCTGACTCGGGAAGATGCCACATGTCGGGAAAGAGCAACTCGGCCTGAGCACCGCAACCATGGAGCCTGTGCCTTAGAGCCCACGTGCCCTCGAGCCCGGCCTCCGCAGAGAGGAACCACTGCGGTGAGAAGCCTGGGCACCGCAGCTAGAGAGCAGCCCCTGCTCGCTGCAACTAGGGAAGAGCCCGCAGCAACAGCCAAGACCCAGCACAGCCACAAATAAAAACAAAAACTAGGTATAAAATAAGCTACGAGGATATAGTGCACAATACAGGGAATATATAGCCAGTATCTTGTAAGAACTATAAATGGAATATAACCTTTAAGATTGTGAATCGTTACTGTACACCTCTAATTTACATTGTACATTATATTTCAAGTAAAAAAAAGTGTAACTTTGAAAAGAGAGAAGAAGATTCACTAGCAGGTTTGATAGCTGACACTGGATTTGGCAAATGATTCCTTAGATATGAAACCAAAAAGCACAGGCAACAAATGGAAAATCAGAAAAATTGAACTAAATCAGAATTTAAAACCTGTACAAGAAAGGACACTGTCAACAGAATGAAAAGGCAGGCTGAAGAGGTGGAGAGAAATACCGAAGTCACGTACCTGATAAAAGGGTTTAAGATCCAGAATCTATGAAGAACTCCTACAACTTACAGAAATAACGAGCAATGGTTTTGAATTTACATTTCTTCAAATAAGATACAAATGGTCAACAAGCTCATGAAAATATGCTCAACCTCACTAACAGTGAGAGAAATGCAAACCAAACCCACAATGAGGACAAATGGCACTTTACACTCCTTAGGATGGTTATCAAAAAAATAAATGTTTGGGGGCCTTGCCAGGAGGTCCAGTGGTTCAAATCCACACTTCCATTGGAGCAGGTGCTGGTCTGATCCCTGGTCAGGGAACTCAGATCCCACAGTTAAGAATATATAATATATATATTTTTCTTATCAGAAAACAAGTATTGACAGGGATGTGGAGAAAGTGGAGCACTTTTGGTGGGGATGTAAAATGGTGCCGTCACTGGAAAACTGTATGGAGGTTCTTCAAAAAATTAAAAATAGAACTGCCATATGATCCAGAAATTTCAGTTTTGTATATATTCCCCAAGGAATTGAAAGTCGGAAGTCGAATGGTATTCTGATTCCCCTCAAAACATCCATGTTCGTTCCAGCATTTTTCACAATAGCAGAAAGACGAAAGCAAGCCAGCGGTCCCAAAATGTGATACAAAGACGCAGCGTATAACCTTGTGACCTTATCCAGCCTTGAAAAGGAAGGCCGTTCCGTCACGTGCAGCACTGCCGTGCTAAGTGAGCTAAGCTGGTCACAAAAGAACAAAGAGCACATGCTTCCATGCACGAGATTCCTAGAGGAGTCAAAACCATAGAGGTGAAGAAGGGCATTTGCCCTGGGCCGGGGGAGAAGCATTGGCCTCAGGGTTGATGGAAACAGTTTCTCCTTGGGAGGAAGAAAAAGTTCTGCAGGCGATGGGGGCAAGGGCTGTGTAAGGATGGGAAGGTACTCAAGGCCACTGAACTGCACACACAGACAGGGCAGAAATGAGAAATTCTGTTACATATAGTGGAGAGCTTAAGAAAATCTTAATGATCGTGCTTACCCTTGAAACCATGTTAGGAAAACTGGGCACACACTGGGAGTAGCTCCCCACACAAGCCCGCTGTCTTGACCTTCCTTGCTCCTGGGGACCCAGGTCCCGGCAAAGCCAGGTTCTTCTGTGGAGACAGCAGAGGCTTCTGGTCACGGAGGTGCTGGCTCAGGGCTGCTGACTCCGGGACGAACCGATGGTGCATAGGAGGGGCTGCGTCTCCACCGGGGAGAGGCTGGCTTTCCCAGGAACCAGGGTCAGTGCCTGGGGCACGGTGTGGGCGAGCCTGGCCTTGAACCCAGGCCCTTCTCACCAGGATGCCGACTCGACGCCAAGCAGCGAGGCTGAGAAGCAAATGTTCCCTCCGCCCGAATGCTGTCCACGCGTCTCTGCGAACACCAGTCTCCACACCCGCTCCAACAGGACCGAGGTAACCCAGCGGCTGGTTTCGGCTACGTCCTGACCCCGGCTCCCAAGACCCTGCCTCAGAGTGAGGGCTGTCGGATAGACGGGTGCCTCCCCCTTCCAGCCTGCCAGCTGCGCGGGGACCCCTGTCGTTCGAAACACAGGCTCCCGTCGTTCCAGAACCCAAGACGCTTGCTCACAAAAACAGCCGAGTATTAATAAAATAACTTACAATCAGCTCCAAATAAAGGATGGGACACTCTGGTCAGACGGACCAAACCCAGCCCCTCAGGCTCCGTCCGTGCGGGGGCTGGAGTCCAGGGGACAAGGTTCAGTCTGTTTGTCCTGCTGATGGGCCAGGCCGCAGCCAGGAACGCGGCTCTAGGACGCCGCCTCCGGGTGTCTCCCTGCTGCAGGCGGGTCACCGGGCCGCAGCCCTGAAACACAGGAAGGGTGCCGAGAGGGACCAGCCCCTGGGCGTGCTTTCTCGCCATCGGTCGGGACCAGGACCTCACGCTGAAGGGCTCAGACCCGAGTCCCAGCTGAGGTCCCAGCCTGGCGCGTGTCACGGTCACCGTGGGGCCACCCTGGGGCCCAGGCCCCGCTGGCCCAAGGGGCACAGGGCACAATTTGCAAAAACAACACATCCTTCGATAAAATATTTATTCTAAAAAAATCACACTGTACAAATTTAGATAGAACGTTCTCAAGGCTCATACTTATAAAAATGTGAACAGAACAGATTGGAGGTAACGAACAAACCTTTGTTGCTTCTTTTTAAATTAAGAGGGGAAAATGTTTTTTTTTTTTTTTTTTTCCCAGGTACAGTGATAGTAAATATAGAGAAGACAGCCGAAGAGCAGCGGAACAACAAGGGTCGCGCCCGTTCTCGGCTCTGTGGGCCCCGAGGAATCGACTCCAAATGCAGGGGCAGGCGACCCGTCCACACCGGCCACGCGGGGAGGCTCTGGGACTGTTTCCACACAGCCTGGAAGTTTGTGCTTAGAGAAAATCCAGCACGGTGTCTTCATAATTTCCTGTTTCTCTAACAAAGTGGGTTTTCTGTACACTTGTTACAAAGCTCTGTACAAAAGCTTGAAGCTCCTGGGAGGTGTCACTTCTGAAAGTTAAAAACGACAAGGAAGTGTTTCCTACAGTTCGATCTGTACATTCACACGACGGAGGAAGTCGATAAAAAAGAATTCACAGAGATTCCAGGCCAGGGAATCCTGGCTTCTCTGAAGGCTGCTTTAAAAGCTGCGGGCTGGTCTCCGCTCCCGCCTGGACTCGCCTGGCCTTCCTGACGCTCAGCCCCCAACCTCTGGGGGACCCGTCCACCCTGCCGAGCGGCCGGGCTCACAGCCAAGGGTGCCAGGCGGGGTCCATGCGGCACAGGTTGTCCAGGCTGTTGGCGGCGGCCACCAGGGTGTTGACTTTGCTCTCCCCGCCCTCGAACTGGGCGAGGTTGTGCAGGCGGGTCACGATGGCCGTCACGGCCTTCTGCACCAGGGACACCAGCTGCTGGCTGTCCATGTTCTCAGGCTGCCCGGCGGCTGATAGCGGGGACGACGTGTCCTCCTGAGTCTTCTTGTGCCAGGCGATGATCTCGTCCCGCAGCACAGTTTTCAGG